TTATGATAACTACAATCGCTGATTTAATGAAAACTAATATGATCGTTCGTTTTGTACACACATTTGTCAGAAATTATTTATTATCTAAGATTTATTTTCACAAGAATCAGCAAGCTGTGATACAAGCCTGCAACGAAATGTAACTTTCAGATTTGAATAATCTTCTCTTCATAGAATACAGAATTAAATGCAGCTTCATGATTGAGTGCTTGCTATCTATTGGGTAAACACTGATGTGACATTCAATAAAAACACATCATAAGATAACGAATATCTACTCCAATTTACACGGGTTTAGTGGTGGTTGGCAATAGGTGTTATGTCCATCAGTAAAAAACAACAACAACATACAGTTTGGTATGTAACGTAGATCAGTTCAAATCGCGATACCACATCAACACACACACATACACAGAAATGGAATGGTCAATTCAAATCCCATAGTGGTAGAGTTAGTAGCAGCCACCGAAGAGATTAAGGATTGAGGATATCTATCATTCGAGTAGTATGTCCCATTGAAATCAACTCCAAAAGAGAAAGACCAGATCCCCATGAGGAATTCAGATCGAAATTTCATAGAAGTCAAAGGATTGAAGTATCTGCGCTATTGCATATGATTTTGAGCTATGTGATTTAAAAGTCTCTAAACATTGGTTACGATTATCTCATGGATCTCAACCAAGCAGTCGTCTATATGGATGTGTGTTAGTTTGAATATATTTATTAGGTTAGTTAACTTTTTTTTCAAAAACTATCCGCAGAACACGACTGATATGTTTGGTGAAGATTTATTGATACTTGACTTACACTTTCTTTAGCTTTTCTGTATCTAATCAAGAAATCATTCATAGTAATTTAACTAAATATCATATACATTAATGAGTTTGAAATACCTGTCATATTGTCAATCAGTTTTACAATATTCCTCCTACCTACTCTAATCCATCCAACTAACGATTTGTGTAGCGGTTCAGTGAATCAAAGGTTAATTCTCAATACACTTTGTTATGACCCTATTTCATGAAACATATAAAGTGGTCATAGCATATGGTCTAAAAGACGACTCTACAGTACTTGTGTGTTAAGGAAGATCGTGGTTGCCCCGTTCATACTGTTTACTGACAAGACTTTAGCCCGGTGATGGGTGATCACTTTTGTGTTCCATAGTCAATGACGACTATTCCCACTGTCGTCGGTCTTGCTTTCAGAATGAATTCATGTGACCCAAGCCTTAATTTTGATATGATTCAATTCTGCAACTTTATGGATTGTGAATAAACTTAGAAGGGATTCCTTACAAAACTTATTGTACAGTTAGTCATTCGATATTTCTGTAGGATTCCTAGCATAGTTTGCTTTGAAGATCTTGGAGGCTAGTGATAAGATGATACTTAAAGCATGAATCGTTTCATGCACAGGAATACTAAACAAGCAAGTATGCACTATTCAAACCCAATAATGAAGAGCTAAGATTATGCCAATTGTTGTATTCTATATACGTACGAATGTAAAATAAACCGTTTTTCCGTCGATTTAGATGTGAGATGAGTGTTTGATTGATTCAAGCATTTGAGTTTTAGGAAAGTAGTGTTTCTGAATTTGCTATTATGCATCTCACTTCTTATAGCTAATAATTATGAAAAGGTATAATAGCCGAAAGTTAATTTTTATGCCTGTCTATGGTTCATGTGCCGCCAGTCAGTGTTAGTTAGCTTCATAACTAATTGTAGTTATGTCATAGCTAACCAATCAAATTGTGGTTTAAGCTCATACCACGTGATCTGATCAGACGTGTCTGTAAACTTTCTTTGTTGTAAATGACCTACAAATTGAAGGACATTATTATCTCATTATATTGATGTGACTCATAGTTTTATTTCTTTCCATAAGACATGTTATATTGGTCGGTACGTTTGTTCGTCTTACTTGATAATTGTAATTTCCTTTATTTATTGTACTAATCTAATTGTTTTTATGTTTAGAAACAGATAAAGTTTAAAGTAAAATTGGTCTTGTTCCAACTATAGCTTTCCCATAGACTCTGTGCTCGCCAATATTGCGTTTACAGTTCTAAAAGTACATCTGTAGGACAAATTAAATCCTACAGTCAGCTACAACGTACAACTTCGTACATACGTAAACTAGCGTTCAATTTGCCATACAGCGGCGGCACAGTAGAGTTGAAATTTCATTTGAAATCCTATAGTGGTTGGTATGAGTAGCACAAGTATGAGCAGTGATTGGAAATATTACGGTCCGAATATATTATCCAAGAAGTAAAATCCAGTGAAATAGACTTAGGAAGAGAAAGATGAAGGTCATGAGTCTAGATTAGGATTTGGGAAAACACAAACAATGAATACACTTGCGTCTTTGCAAACGATTTTGAGCCATGTCATTCAGTTATTAACATCTTGTGGACCCCAACCAGGTAGTCTATACTTACCAACACGGATCAGTCCACTTGTCGATGATTTCATGGGTTTGTGTCATGTTTCGGTCTAGCCGGCGCTAACTTCCCTCCAACCGATTCCCACAGCACAAAACAACCCTCGTCGAGGTGGTCAGTGGTCGGATATACGTGAAATATTTCCCACCAACCTCAAATGAAGAATTATCACGTCATCGACCAACTTGCAACCTTTACCTGGTACCCTTTTCGTAACAATTATATTTCTTATTACAAATATAAACGAGCGACGCTTAGGAGGCACCTATGATCGAAAACCAATCACCTACGAATAACTTCTACCTTTACTGGCCATGTTTTATAGCCATAGTGTAGGACGAAGCGAGCTGCTGCTCAGTAGACCTATCCTTTGGTTAGCAAACGAATACCTCATGCAAGTTGTCAAAAGACAATCGAGCCTTCTGTATCCGTGCTGCGATTTCGTCACTCACCAGGTCATCAGTACTGATGAGACTCCCGAAATAAGTGAGGCGGTTGACTACTTTCACTCCCTAACACTAGTTCAGGTGCCGATGCAAGCCAATCCTGAAGCGACATTTTGCATCTTGAGGATAATCGAATCGCATACCTACTTGCATTGTTGCCTAGGGTGGTCAGCGTCTTCACCGAATAGAACTGTCGTTGGCACATTCTAAGTCGAGAAGTGAATTGCCCGGTAAAAGTTTACTTCCTGAAAAACCATACGAAGAGCATGTCTTGGGGTTCGAACATTAAAAGCTACAATATGTAGTTTAGAACGAGGGCTCAGGAGACCAAAAATAACGTGTAGTCAACTCGGATCGTTTGCAATAGCGGCGCGAAGTGATAAAGGAATGTGAGAATTTTTGGTCACGGAGGTAAGAGGGTTATTACAAAGCATAGAGAGCATTTGATTCCAACTAATTCGGTCTTGTGTGCTGCAATAAGAATGAGGACGTACGGTACTTCTCGGCTGGCCACACCGTGGAAGATTATTTCTTAAGGAACCTGGAAAGGAAGCTGGACTAGTGTTTGTCTTAGAGACCTGGAAGCGTGACCACTACATAGGCCGGTCACACGCGACTATTTATGGGATTTTTTACAAGTAACATCTCTGTTCTTCAACTGTCCTTAACACCGGTGACGGAAATCCATGTGATAAGGTAATGCGTTACATTTTTAGGGCCGACCTTTTCCTAATCCCTTCCTTCTGTTGTGAGAAGTCAGAATCGCTACAGATGTTGGCTGTCCAAAGAAAACACCTTACTGCTGTCACGCACCTCTCTACAGTCAACAGTACGACTTCATCCTCAGTTGCTGCTTTTAGTCGCATCGTTCTCCAATTGACCTGCTTGGCATGGTAGAACCCTACAGGAACATATGTTCCAGCCAATTATAGCGCTCGATTGGGTGTCATCACGATACGCAAGCCAGACCACCACATCGATGCTATAGAAATATCATGAAAACACCAATCACATCAATTCTTACATCAAATAACCTATGATTCACAAATGTGAACTTGAATGTTCGGATAGAAGAAAATACAAGTCAATCCTATCATCCCGTGTGAAGAAGTAGGAGTAGAAGTAGAGGAGAGAAAAAAACAATTAAACTTTACATAAACACAATAGTAGATTATTTTTATTATATTCGATAGAGATAAAGAGAGCACAAAACGGCATCTGCAGCATCATATTACAACAACCTTTGATCAAATGTGAAAATAGAACCAGACAATTTGGAATAGTAAAGAGTAAGACATACACACGTGCACACACGCACACACTGACACACACAAATGATATGATTAATTCTTTCTTTCTCACACACGCACGCACACACACACACAGAAGAAAACAACAACAACAGGAACAGCCGCGGCGGCAACGACAAGCAACGGCAAAGAAGAAGAATTAGCGTAATTTATCTCTCTCTCTCTCACTCTCTTTAAAGCAAATCAAAATAAGTAGCAAATCGCCACAACTTTTTCATTAATTAATTAATTAATAAATATACTTTACACATTTTGTCCACCGATGATTAGATAATATGTGATGAAAAGAGTGAAAACACTTTGAAAGAGAAGGTTTGTTACACTGTGTTGCATTAAGTGTTCTTTGTAGAAATATCTATATATATGTGTGTGTAATATATGAGACAAATAAACATTATTTATTGTAAACACAACTAAGCTAATAACTAGGAACAGAGATATAAGTGTGAATGAATCTTTTTTTATTTTCTCCATACCAGAGAAATGTATCATTTGCATGAACACAAACACACGCACGCACACACACAAACAAGCACACAAATTGAGAAATGTCTGAGGAGGAAGTAGCGCCGCCATGTGAAATATAATTGGGGTTGGATGGAATTTCACACTATGTATTATGGCATAATAATGAAGATCAATTATTGTTAAAACAGATAACAACATCACTATCATTGTCAATACAATGATGCAGCATAAATGTAGTAGTAGTCGTAGTAGTACGTAGTAGTAGGTGTTGTTGTTTGTGGTTGTTGTTGTAAGTTTGCAAATCACTGTTCTCTATTTGGTTTTTTTTTACAGAATAAATCGACCCAAGAAGAGACCAATAAGTAAAGCTGTGATTAGGTATAATATCGGTGGGATATTACTAAACGCATCAACTTTCGTTTTATGATAACGATCACTAGAACTAGCACTGGCACCAACACCAACACCACCCATACGACGACCATCACCACCCCCATCAACCATGGATCGAACACCAGCTTGATTGGACATTCGACATGTATCTGAAATAGCTGCGGTACGTCGTAGATGAAGATCCGATTCCTAAGGACAATTTAAAAAAAAAATTAAAATGTTTCAAGTAACTAAGATTAAACAAAGCGGAGATTAAAGTCAAATAAGGTTTCATCAATTAGTTATGAATACTACAGACAGATACAACGCAGAACTTCGTACGTACATACATCAGTTCAGGTTGCCATGCCCCATCAGCACAGACACGTAACTGTCAGTTCAAATCCAAGAGTGATAGCGATAGTAGAAGTATTAGCAGTAATGGAGAAGACTAGGGAGCGAAGATATGATTCGAGAAGTATAATTCAGTAAGATAAATTTAGAAGCTTTCTTCCACTCCACTCCTACACTGTAAAACATAGCTCGTCGAGGCAGCCGGTGGTTAGGCATTCGTAACACGTGTCCCAACCACCTCAACTGATGAAGTTTCAATACTTCATCTATTGATTTGCCATCCTTACCTAGAACTCGTTTCCTAACGACAGCATTGCTTATACGGTTGTCCCAGGATACACGAGCAATGATTCGGAGACATCGATGATCGAAGACTAGTAACCTACGAAAGTCCTCTACTCTTAACGGCCATGTTTCGCATCCGTACAGTAGGACGGAGCGAACTGCTGCACGGTACACTCGTACTTTGGTTAGCAAACGGATATCTCGCCTGCGCCATAGGTGACGCAGGTTGGCAAAAGCCAATCGAGCTTTCTGTATCCGAGCTGAGATTTCATCACAAACCAGGCCATCAGCACGAATGAATATATGAATATGATGAATATGAATACTACACACACACACTATATATATATATATATATATATATATATATATATATATATATATATATTGATAATTTTTAGAAGGTTAATGCAGCAGAGTGAAAGAAGTGTTACATTTACTTACACATGACAAGACAAACTGATGAAGTTGAAGAAAAACTAACAGACAACCACATAATCAATGAGCAATTATTAGTTTATTGGAACTTTTTGAAATCTTTCTCCCATCCATCAGCACCTAAACTAGTGATAAGGAGTGAAGCATTTGAGCGTGTTGACAGCTTCACTTATCTTGGGAGTCTAATCAGTACGATGGCCTGATGTCTGACCAAAAAAACACGCTCGACTGGCTTTTGCCAATTTATGTCACTTATGACGTAGGTGTGATGTCCGTCTGCTAAACGAAGGACGAGTCTGCTGCGCAGCAGTTAAGTTTGTGTTACTATATGGCTGTGAAACATGGCCAGTAAGAGTAGAAGATATTAGTATGCTGTCGGTCGTCGATATTCAAGAAGTATAATCCAGTGAAATAAATGTAAAAAGACTAAGATAGAGCTGTTGAAGAATACAGAGGATAAAAATTTGAGAGAAGTCAAAGAACGGATGCCGTTGCAAATGATTTCCAGCCATATCATTCAATGTCTCTAGCCATCAAATACTATCATCTCGTGGACCCCAACTAGGGAGTCTACACCTACCAACATTACTCAGTTCAGTTGTCAGTGTTTTAATGGATTTGTGCCATGTTTAGGTTTGGCTGACCCTAGCTTTCTTTCAACTTACTCATACATCACAAAACATAGTTCGTCGGTGGTTGGGCATTCGAAACGTAAGTCCCAACCATCTCAACTAATGAAGATTCAGTAGTTCATCTTTTGATTTGTCAGCCTTGCCGAGTACTTGGTTCCTAACAACTGCATTGCTTACTCGATTGTCTGACGATATACGAGCAATGCTCCGAAGACACCGATAATCAAATACCCGTAATCTACGAATAACTTCCATTTTTAGCGGCCAGGTTCCACACCCGTATAGTAGGACAGAGCGAACTAATATCATTCCACGCTGCCTCAGGGTGGGCATCACTTACATGGCTGCCTAACTGTTTTTCTAGTTGTTCTCGTTAAGTAGAACTCCAAGGGATTTTCTTGCTGTTTCTTTGTCACATCCAGTAAGAAATAGACAAATACGCGCTCCAACAAGAGCATGATCTGAATCTAAACACATGCTCTAGGAAGGAGTGGCGGTCTTCCCTCGAACCTCTCCATCAGTAATTGATAGCAATGTGATCTATTCGGGTCCAGCATTGAATACATTTTGGGGGTCTCCGTGTCGAAAGATATGGTCCCTTATGTTTGATGTTAGTATTTGCCAGAAATAGGCGGTTATTTGAGCGCTTAATCTATCTACTTGGTACTAAAGTCACCAGCCACTATTGCTACATCAGAGTGCTTAGCTTGTTGAAGAAGTTTGGAAAGCTTTCTGTAAAATTCATTTTTCACTGTATCTGAGCTGCAGTCTGAGTGTAGGCGGACATAACAAAGAGACAACGGCGAGTGTCTCTCCCAGAGTTCTTACCGTCCGATTCAGTCGGACAGCAAACAAGAGACTGTCTACTAAGACCCAGTCTAGGAGAACTACTTCTACATTTGAACTACATGCTACATCTACACCAGTGGGAACACGGGAAGCAACAGTGGAGTTCCCAAAATCACGAAGCGTAAATCGAGACGGATCTTTAATTTGACAAGATCGGGTCAAACGAATGAATCTACTCGGATCCTGCATACATGTTTTGGAGATGCAGCATACATCATCGATTGTGCGAGATTGAAAGGTCCTAGCTACTAAGGAAGTCTGTTGTCCTATCTGATACCAAGTTCAAACAGTGAAAGCTCCAACATATAGTTTAGAGCAGAGTTTCAGAAGACCGGAAACAACATTTCGTGCACTCACTGACCACTGCATCCAAAATGAGACAGTAGTCAACCTTAAACCGACTTGATAACAATTACTTATGATCACAATATAATGAGTTAAAGTCAAACATCCTTTTACTACTTTCTACACTTTAAAATGTATTACGTAATCGGATAAAATCCTAATGATCTCGAACAATTATCAATTTTGAAAATTAACCATCTTTAAAACTTTAATTCTAAATAGTTTCTACATTACAAGCCTAACGTTGAAAATAAGAAATCCAAGTTAACAAGTGAGTGATGTAGTGTGAAAGATTGCTTCATTTAACTTATTCATCACCATCCTTATTGATTGGTGTCTGATAAGTTCAAATGAATTCCATGGTTTGTGTCAGATGAATAGAATATGAAGTCATTGATTGATTTATAGATTTTAATTTTAAAAAGTAAACTTTAGGCGTAAAGCGAAGAATTACAAAGCATTTATATATTTGTTCTAAAGCGTTACGAATCTTGGATATCTAGAGATTTAAACTAACTATCCATCTATCGCTGTACGTACGTACGTACATATGTTCATGTTGCCATACCACATTAGCACAGAGACGCAATTGTCAGTTCAAATCCCATAGCAGCGGAGATAGTAGAAGTATTAGTGACAATGGAAAAGATTAGGATTCGATAAAACTATTCAAGAAGTACAATTCAGTGTGACAAGGGGTGTGACGGGGGTGATGAGGAATTGAGGTTAGAATTTTCGAAAAACACAAACAGTGCATGCACCTGCGCCATTGCAAACGATTTTGAGTCATACCAATCATAGTCTCTAACCATCGGTTACTATCGTCTCACGGACTCCAACCAGGTATTCTACAATTGTCAATAAGTCTCAATCCAATAGTCGATTAGTTCAGTGACTGGTGTAATATTTTGGTTTGGTCGTGAAAGAAAAGACTTCTATGCACTTTACGGTGGGAAACAAAATGTGTGTATTTAGTTGTCAAATATTTATTTGGTTACAGTTCATCAAGGATCTAACTAATGCCGCCAATTATTCATGAGAATGTTAAACGCTATAAGCACAATACAACATTCAAGGGATGCGCTCATTACTTAGTCTTTGATTCCCACACATAATAGAAACTACTTGCTCAGTACTCTGGTCAAGTATTAAGTACAATAGAATAGTTTCACTTCTATAATCATTTTATGATTTAAGGGAAAATTATTGTTGGTTATAGACTAGTATTGGTTAGTACTGAGGATTCTTCACATCAACAAATTTTTCACAGGGCTATTTGGTAAATATTCATTAATATACAGACATAATTATTTGTGTTAGAAATGGTCAGATTACTTATTGATCAGTTAGCTATCAATCATAATCAACATACAGCCTGATATAAACATAGAAAGTGTATTTAAAAAGATAGCAAAAGATATTATATACGAAGGTATACTGGGACAGCACCAATGCGACCGATTCCGAGTCATATCACCAGATATATTAAACCACTACTGATCTTGGTTATCGTGTAGACACCGAAACAGGTAGTCTGCACTCACAAACATATCAGCGAATCTCAATACTGGTTATAAATACCAAATGACTGCTACATGTGCTGTTGAAGTAATCAGTATTATCAATTTGAAATAACTACGTAACAAGGCCAGAGGTTTTGTTGATTTATTGAGAGTCGTCAACAGGAAACTCTGGATTTTGGTTTCGAGCGATCTGACACTTGTTAGCAAGGTACACTTTGTTATTTGTGCGATTAAACGCGAGCTAAAGCTGTTGTATGAAGGCTCAAAATTCTATCCAGAAGTTTAAAGAGAATTGATTGGAGTGGTTTAATTAAATAGGAAGGCCAATCATTAAAAGTCCAGTTATGAAATCACTGAAACTTAACCCCATGTGAAGTAATAGGGAAGTTATAACCTTCCGTATTGTAGGAACCTGACAGATTTTCTGTTTAGTCGTTGTTACCAAGTAACCAAGTCACTGGATGTTGTACCTTATGTTTAGAAACTAAAGGACTTCATTCATTACGAAAACTACTATTTGAAGCCCATAAACAATAACACAGTATGTGTTGAAGGTAACTTGATTATCCTGAAGTTTTTGAAAATTGTATGTAAAGCAATGCTTATTAGGTTTGCTTTTTAAACATCTTATTTAGGAGAAATATGAAAAACTTAATTTTGAATATTTACTACAAGATAATGATATTACTTACCTTGAGCGCAGCATTTTCTTGGCGAAGAGCAGATATTTCAGCCATTAACTTTTCGATATCCGCCTGGCTCATACCAGTATCATGTATAGGTTTCTAAAAATATGCATTAAATTAGGTTTTTCACTTACAGATGATGCAACTTGATGATGTTTGCTAACTTCTACTCTTTCCTCCTAAAAAAAAAATAAAATAGAATACAAATTGACTTACAATGCCTGTGTTTTTGAATACACATTTCAAGTAATAATCCGTCGCTTTTCCTTCCTTAAATAAAGCCGTTTGTTGTTAGATTTATTAAACAAAAAACACCTACAGTTTGATCTTTTTTAATATCTGTTCCTTCTGGAGCAACAGTAGATTGAATTAACATTCTTACACGATTTTTTGCTGTGAAATCAAAGTCAGTTGGATGAAATATAACTACACAATGTTATAATGAAGAATAATATCATACTTGAGATCGTCGAATTCTCATTAGGCAATATGACACCTGTATTTGGTGTGGCAGTAAAATGATCTGGGGATGAGGCGCTGATCTTAAACCAAATATTGTGTGAAGAGGGATTGGTCAGTTTCACAACAGATGTAACAGGTTTGACAAAAGGACCTAACTGGGGTAATACATTATAACAATGAAAACAACCTTCAAAGACTAAATCCCGGCTAGGTTCAACATGAAGTTCTTCAGGTAAACGTAAAAGACAAAACAATCGTGAATCCATTAGCTTGCTGTGAGGTGCATCCTTCCACTTATGGAGAGAAAAAGAAAATACTAAGATTAGACAATCTACATACCAACTGTTCCATGGTAGGCCGAGGTTCATCGGACACAATGATGGATTGAATCATAAATTTATGATTAAATTTTTCTGCAGCATTGTAACAGAATGGTTGGAGCATTACTAGAAAACAAATGCAGACTGAATATACAAGCACAAAACGAACCTGCAACTTCTAAGGTTTGATGAGGTTCAATATAACCATTGCTTGGTTTTACACAATAACATTTTGGCACTGTTGTTTTGATTTTAAATGCAACAGGTTGGTCCAAAGGATTTGTTAATTTGATATAAGAAGTGACTACATCGACGAAGGGACCTGCAGGGGAACGATGTAAACAGTATTAATAACTGTGCAAGGAAAAATAGAACCAAATGATTGGAATGAAATGTTGACAAAGTCGTAAGATCCAAACATCAAAAACATAAATTCTAAATACTTTACTCACTGGTTAAGAACAGGTTTATGTACTCAGCTTGGGCCATATTTATAGGGGGACTAGTGGCACTGCATGGCTGCCCAGACCAAAATGAAGTGTTCAAACCAATAACCTACTGTTTTGATCCCAAAAGCTTAGTCCATGTAACCAGAGCACTATCAAATCAGAATTAATTGGAAAATACTAATGGAATTCCATACTATCTTTTAAGTAATGCTTATAGATGTTCCTTTATTGATGACTGTGAAGCAGTGATGCGAAATGACGCGTACATTTCTGGACTCCCCAAACAGATATCGAGACCCAAACAAAAATATAAACGATTGCTCGTACATGCATGCAGGAATACGAGGATTTCGGACTTATGGATTTCAAAATGGGTGTGTAGAAAAGTACTTGGTCTCGAGAGTGAACGAGTGACTATGGGATCCCCGAATACCACCCCAAGACTGTTTAGGATGCCTTCTACGCACTAATAAATTCAGAATGCTAAGAGTCAGTTTACATTAATGTCATGTTAGACTTCAGAAAGTATACTAAATGTGGCATTTACGTGGGACGTCTCAGTCCTGATAAGATAGAAGCTCGATAAACCTTAGGATTTGTAATAAGGGTATGTTTAGCGTCCGACAATTACTTTCGGTATGAGCGAAACGTCTGCACACAATGGTAGAGCTGATGTACTGAAAAGCAATTTGCTTTATCATAATTTTGGAGATGTCTTCTAAGCTAAATGGTTTAGTAGCGTAGCTTCTACTGTCTCTCAACGTGATCTGCACATTATCTACTATTACAATCCTTCCATCCCCAAGTTTGGAACATACTGTCATTTGCATTATTTCAAATTGTGGAACAGTCCCTGAAGGTAACAGACGTCAATAGGATGCAAGTCTTTGAACATGAGTATTTTCGACGGATTATTTGTTTGGAGTATAACAGTAAGGTATATACTGTAGGTATAACATTCTAAGTAAACGTAAACCAATCCGTGAAGTGATGAACACTCATCATTCTAAATAGTTGTGACTCAAGCACTGTACCCATTTACCCTGGGTTATGTGCAGTAGACACAGGTAATTAGGAAAACAGAGATTATTTGATTAAAATGCCACTCCGTAAAACCAATAAGTGTTGGTTTGGATTGTGTGGGTAACACCAGAACTCCTGCATGGTTGCATACCTTAGTTGATATGGACTGCCGATGGCAGCAGTGGCTTAAAACACAACGTTACTTTTTACGCTGGTTTAGAATAGACAAAGTAAATAATAGGCACATATTTAACATATCAGAACGACGTTAAGTGGTAATAAAGATGATAAAGATAGTTTGTCATCTTGCCTGAAAGAAAAGCTTATGACTTGGTGTATTTTGTGTTAACGTCAGGTTTGAAGGTGACAGTTCGTCCAAGTCCCTATGAAAACCATGACTCTAACATCTTATTCGTTTCCTTCAATAACATTCTATTCGTTAGTAGTTTTCAATGTCGAAGAACTAGGACCAGATGAAGGTGTCTTGATATCTTTAGGGAGAGATCGGGTCACTACAAGAAAAGAGACCGCATATATTACTATACATCTGATCCCCAATTCCGAATATTAGGGTTCAGTAGGACTTAACTGAGACCCTATTATTTTAAATGAAGTAATAAAATAACTACCTTCAAATACCAGTTCATTCTTTGGCTCAATCTGCAATACTTGTGCAGGGCTATCTGCCATTCGAAGAAAGCACTCAACAACCACGAAACCGAAACTTCCAGCTCGCAACTGATTAGGTCAATTGGGTGCGCAAACAATTTAGAACAGGAAAATGATTTAAATCATAAATATGTACTATAAAGCCATAAAATTTTATATAATGTTGTATTTATAAAATTTCGTCACAGTGTGTCCAATGTTCCAATGTAAAATTGCAAAGAAGAATGATGTTGCTTGAGATTAGATAAAAGTCTGAAAGTCCATCCAACCGTAGATTGCGAATATGTTACAGGTGATATTACTGTGCCTCGAGTACGTCTAGAGAAGGAATCAATGTGACTCGCAAACGTCAGTGACTAGAAGTTAGGGGTCTTAAGTTTTCAAGAAAGCAAGAAATTGAATATGGCTACGAGGAGATATAATCCCTTTCATTAGTTAGATAAGTGCAGGCTAAAATCCTCATAGATTTTTTGGAGTGAATTGACCGAGAAGTAACACTTGGTGTTTTGCATCACCGTACCTACGAGGCTACTGTAAAATTTGAACATTCTTTTGAATGGTTTGTCAGTAATCTATGCCTTGAGTTTAAAGATTTTGATGGAAAATACGATCGCAGAATATATTTGACGTTCCCTTTCGCGATGTGACTTAGATGCAATTTAGTACCAAGTTGAACTCAATTCATTTCGGAAATGAAATCGTTAGCATCGTGTCTATATTTAATTGTCGTTCAAAAATGTGCATTTTACAAGCTTCATGACGTCGAGTGAGTTGAATAAAGTTTCTGTTTAGCTCAAGAAGTTGAAGAAATCACAGATCTCTAAGGTTTGGCGACAGAAGAAATTTGGTCATACGCTTTGAACAAGGCTGTGTTTGAAAAGACAGTTATACTTTTTCCAGGTAGCTCTTAAGTCACAAATGTTAGGCGATGGGTAATGATCAAATGTGGTTTACGTGTTCAGTAGTTCACAGTAACCGGTTGGACACTATTCATTGTTGTTTTATTGACCCAGAATCTGATTCCAGTTTTTACGAACAATAAAATATCATGTGAAATAATTTTCTAGTCTAGTTTCTTAATATCATCCTTCGTCTGTGCTACCATAGTAGTTTAAAGCTCGATACAATTTATTTTGGATGAATTTATCCCATGCACTCGTACAGGCAGAGTGAAAATAGAATGCAAAGTGTGAAAGCGATGCGACGCATAGTGAAGTGGAGAAGGCGGATAAACCACTTCAATTCCATGAGGTCCAACCAAGCATCTACAGTGTGAAGAAACAAGCTAAGCATGAGATGAGCGGCGTAGGCAGTGCATACACGTACTCAATGAAAGCAACCAAATTTATGAGACGGTAACTGTCGGTGTCAAACGGTGTGCAAATAATAACTCGGAAAGAAAGTTTAAATAGGTGATCCGGAAGCTGGGACAAGTTGAATAGGCTTGATATGTTAGCATACATCACACCATCCTTTGTAGGGAACATATGCAAAGAGGATGTCCATGGGCTGTCTAATGGTCAGATGATCCCTAAATCTATTATACAGTCTAATTCATTTTAGAAGGCCTTGACATCTTGAGGCTGGCCTTCGGCCTAGTGTGAATACAGGAGTTCCTTTTGCTGTGACCAAGTATACAAACTTGCTGGTTACAAACGGTCGTTGCAGTCCTGTTTCCACAATTGTAGACTCGTGTAGAAAATTGATTGAGAGAACTGGTAGATGATGTGTTTGGTCATGACTGTGCATCATCTACAATCAGAGAACGATCACTTGTGTTCCGTGTAAGAACGTGATAGTGGTGTAAAGGAGACAGCTCAGCCCACCGGTAACGGTTGCCGTTATCACATGCTCTCTGGACAGTTTCCCAGAATGTTTTTGACAAAGGATTTCTGGCTAAGGAAACTTCAGGGTTCCTTGCAATCTAATTAAGATTAGTCACGTGTATTGTGGAAAAGATACCCGCTTGGATTGTCTGTTTCTCGCGGTCCGCAAACAGAAATTTCGATAGATTCATTCCAGTTGTCTTTGATCGTCACCCATTGTGCTGGAGATTCAGAAAGCAGTTGATAGTATTACAGAGGTTTATTATCCCGTGTGAAGCCGATAGAAATGTCTGTTCGACAGAACAAACTTCAGAGTTCGTAGTTCTCACTATTTCCAGGATTGGACTGGCGGATATAGCTACATTGTCCTCGGTGTTATTTTGGAATGATGTGACAACAGCTTACACCTGACAAGCAATTTTAAAACAGACGTTTTTCGGGCAAGGCCTTCGCAAAAGTTCGCACGCAGCTACACTTCTGTTACCGAGCCGTGTTGCGGCTGTTACAGGAGGAATGAAGACATTTTGCTGGTCAAAACCTTTATATATAAATATCATTAATTTCACTGTGTTTTTCGGGTACATTTGTTTTACTTAACTTATGAACTTGTTAGAATTATTATTTATTATTTATTTATTATTATTATTATTATCATTTTGGACTCCCGTTTCTCTTGGTTGTTCGTTTTCAGTTTTTTGCTCCAGAAACCTATAAAATAGGAGGTAATTGTAATTATTATAATTATTGTTGTTAGAACGACATTGGTCGTCGATCTGTAATAAACACATTTTGGTCGATTATTGTGAATTAAGAATAAACTTTGGTACCTACTTTGGATTTCCCTTTTGGTTTAATCCTTTGGGATCGTGAATTGCAAATAGATCGACAACTGTGCTTCTAAGGATCAAAGAGCAAAAAATTGGACGTAACAGCGGATCAATGTTGTGGAAACGTTTTCCCAACCGGGGCCCATCGGTCAGACCTCTGCCTTTAAGTGTCGCCCTTTCAGTGTGTCATAAGGTTCGGAAAAGTTGCTAGCATATATATTGGGTGTAACGTATCTAGTCAACTCACGTGGCGGTGTTCTAACACAGCGAGAAATTCCGCACGACAGGCCTTCCATACTCTGCAGAAAGAGACCAGTTTCTGCATGGCAGAATCAGGCTTAGATATTGTCAGGCCAGAATGGGATGCGTTGAGAGTGTGAGGAAGCAAGAGTCCTAATCTCTTGGAAACTGTGTCTGTTGATAGTGTAAGAATAGGGCATCTGTAAATAAATGAAGAAAAAATGTGAAAACAAAAGTAAATACCACGACATGAAAAAATACGTAGCCACAGACAAGGAAAAGACTCCTTGTAATTCATCGAGTGTACTAGGTCACGTCGTGTCCATAGATGAGGATACAATAGATATTCAAAATTGGACAAAGGTTTTATCCTTAACACCTTTCAGATCAAGAATACCAAGAGTCAAGCTTAATCAGAAGTCATGAATGAAGAAGATCGAACATGTATTTGAGTATTTGATGGGATGTGAAGGAGTGAGATTGATAGTTGATGCGAGGAGATGCGTAACACAATGTACCCAGCAATGATTTTGTGAATATGTGTAGACGATAGCCCTCAGCAAGGATGTGTCCAGTAAAACTAGTGAGACCTGCAGAACTACCTATTTTAGGGTCTTATTAACCGCAACAAAGCCTTTCACATTCTCAGTGGAAACATGGAAGGTCTACGTGCACCAGACCGTTGTTACTTACCAAGAGTTTCAAAATATGGTTGGTAAGATACTGGTTGGAATCTGTTTAAGCTATTAGATGTATGTTCATTCAAAAACCCTAAAATCTAATATTATGATAAGTTCTTAGCCTGATTGTACGTGGAGCTACACACAAATTAACTCAAAAGAATTTCATTGACCGTGGAACACTTACTCGAACAATGTGGCTCAGTCAAGCCGGTGTAGTGGTTTTATGTAACCTCTTGCTTCTTATGTCAAGTATACTATTCTCTTCTAAGACGAATATATTCTTTCCGAATTTTCAAGACTCATTAAACTAACACTTATAATCAGACCGCTTAATATAGACAATTTCATGATTTCAGTGTAATATTTTATATATCAGGTAGTCATGTCAAAGAAAGCTTACAATTTTCCAGCAGGTCTACCAGTAGCATAAAAGGTGACTTAGACCTTAATTCTAAAAAGTTTTGACTTTCAGAAGTCCAAATACGGTAAAGCTAATATTAGCAGTACAACATTTAGACAACTGCTGAATTTCACATATGCATCTAGTTTATTTTATTGAGTTTGAACTCCATAACTAGTAGGTTAACAGTCTCGTCATGGAATTTGTGTATATATGGAGAAACGTGATCCTGTATGCTCAGTGTGAAGTATGCTTATTTCACCATAAAGCTAAAGAAGGGCCCAATAGTGCGTACATGAACTTTAGTAGATTACGCTAATAAAATTTACTTTATCCTATTCATTTTTCAGGGTTCATCGAGTCTCAATTGCCTAAAAGCTAAAGGCTCCTGATATCAATGAAACGACAACATTTACCACAGTTTAAACGTCAGTATTTCGGCTAAGAGAAGTCTATGAAAGTTTTGGTTGCGATAAGAAAAGTTGAATATTTCTACCAGTTATCTGGTAGACTGCATCATCCATAACGTCATTAGAGCTATATTCACAAAGGAGATATAATAATACCACCGAAGTCTGCTCTTTCTCTCCTTTGTGTATAGCCAGTTCATATGGTAATGAGAGGGACCACCGCGTACAGGATAACTTGTTTCAAATAATACTCTTTGTTTCCAAGACGATTTTTAGATCGTGATCAAGTCAACCGTATCAACTGAAATTTGGTTGTACATTATTTAATTTTTTTATCACAAAATATACGGATTCATCAACTTAGCAAGGTTGATGTCAAAAATCCGTTAGTTTGAATGTGCCATCATTACAATAAGCAGCGTTGATTGAATGACATCGCTAGTTCATGCACAACTAAAATATATCACTCAGGTGTAGGGGGTATTCTCATTATTATTGTTATTACTATTATCGTCATGCAGCTAGCATGTGTTAGCCAGCTGCAAATATATCGTTCACTAAGGATTAATGATTACTTTCCTCATTGTTAGTTCAGCTGGCCTCATCCATAGAAATAATTCATTTTTACCAGTGAA